CATAAAAAAAAATTAAACCCTAACCCAAACCCTTGCCCTAACCCTAAACCATAAGCCTAAAACCCTAAGCCCAAAATACCAAAACCCAAATATAAATACTAAACATAAATTTTAAAAATTAAATGCTAAACCCTGAACCATAAAACCTAAAAAAAACCTACACCCTAACCATAATCTTGACACTACCCTTAAACCCTAAACCCTAAAAAAACCCTAAGTCCAAATACGAAAATTCAAACAGTAAATAGTAAACCATAACTTATTGAGATCTCATCACTTTATTATTTTTAGGTAGCTACCCCTCTTATGAGGTTTTATAAAGTGTTATGTCGTAATTTCTCCAAGAGCACAGTGTATCCTTATTATGATCATTTTGATTCTTTGATCCTCCTTCTTTTTCAAAGATTATTTTATTTAGAATTGATTAGTCTATCATGTTTACAACTTTTGTGTTGTTCTAATATCTCACTTGTGTTAGACAAACTAACATATATCTCAATCTTTTGGTCGTTTTGGAGAATATATCTTTTTGCATCATAGTGTATTCATTAACCATATATTGCACATTAAAATTATTAGATGAAAACTATTTTGTCCCTGACCATAAACCAATTAACAAAAAAATTGATCATAACTTATTAGTTTGATTCATATAATTACATTTGTATGTAATATCATATTTCATATCAGCACATGAAATTTTATTTTCAAAAGCAATGAGTCACTATGTGAGACATTTAATGTCACATTATCTTATATATTTATCAATATTATCAAGATGAATTTATCTTGATTTCATATTCTGAAAGTTGTGTTTTTAGCTCAATTATCTTGCACAAACAACTTTGCGAATGTCAAACTACAAGTTGACAACAAACGCACATGTGATTATCTTATTGATGCATCTTTTTATCATATAACAGGATAGGTGAACGGGCCCTAATTCACCTTTTATACTTTTCAGAATTTAGGGATTTAGTCCCAACTTTAGTTGATCCAATCAACTTTATCACGAGAACAAGCAAACGTTAAGGAATTCTTGAAGAATCTTTTAGTTTTTCAATGTATGTCCATTACTCAGTATGCGCATCTTTGGGATGACTAAATTATTCATGTCAACTAATAAAATTATTAGTACTCGTAAACTCCAAGTTTACTACGCCATGTGCCTTTTGCTTTAGTAAATTTTTGATTTACTATTATTTGACTAAATTTTAATTTTATTACTCCAAGAGTAATTTTCAGATTTTATTTTTTCTCAATTACTTTACCCTTTAGGTGAGTCGTGATCCCATCATTGAATGAACAAATCTAAAGAAAATTGTGCATGTAAACATATTATTTATCCCAACATTTTTGCAAACATCAAGTTGCGAGATAATAATAGGCGCACATGAGACCATATAGAAGAAACATTTGTTAGGACCATTAAATATCTAAAAAATCCACTAGGTGGATGACTAGGTCCACAAATATATGTATACGTTCTTAAAACGCAGAAAATTGAATCTCAACTTTCATATATGATGGTCTCACAATTAGCTTGCCTTGTAACAAGTAGTACAAGAAAATTCACCATTCCAAAGATTTTTTAGTTTCTTCCATGGATGTCCATTTTAATTTTTCATAATTCGTCTAAACATTATAGACTAACGATGTCCCAGACAATCATGTCAAACTAAGAATGTATTGGAATTAGTAAACTTCTTATTTACCATAGAATGTGCCTCAGTTGTACTAATTCTTATTCAATACAAGCCTGAATATAAAACATGAAACTTTTCTATAACACATGTCTTCTTAGAGACATTCTTGGTGATACCACATCATTGACCAAAGGTCGCAATCTTTCTCATGCCTAGCATGGTTACTTACACCTCATTCCCTTTAGGGAATGGATTTATATTTTTAGCATTTACAAAAGTTCTCATTCTTGATAAATGGAACACAAATATATGAGCATATCAAATTATGATAGTTTTAGTACCTCATTCCATATTTATGTGCATTATTAAATCACTTCTTCTTTCAAACATATCATGCACTACTACCATATTCACTTTACGTAATGGAGCAAATTCAGTAAATTTCATGAATTCTCATAAAAAACACATTAGTTTTTCTTTAGTCATTATTATATCATCAATATTGTGCATTAAAATTCAAATTCAATGTCTTATCCATGTAAGAGTGTTTTAGACCATAAATTGATGAAACTTGAATCCAATATCTTCTCATCATGGTTCACCAGGACTTTAACCCAATGTCTTACCCTCTTGGTGCGATTGAACATAAATCCACCATCTTATTCTTTTGGTGTGGTAAAACTTAAATCTATCGTCTTACCCACAATGAACCTCAACCTCAAGCCTTCACATAATTGTAATTTTATCACTTTTAATGATCATGAATATGATCGTATATTATAATTACACACAAAATTGAGATAATTGATATATTTTAATCAACATTAGTAGTTAATAAATATAACTTAATAGATCACATACCTCATATTAAGATTGAAAACATACCTTTCACTACATTGTGCTTATTTAATTATTAAAATAATTTAAAGAATTCTATTCCCAATCGGTTAAAATAAAACGTATAAAAAGTCGATAGGGCTCTTTAAATACTTACACCAGATGGTAACTCCAGATCTGTCACATAAATAATTATAACTAACAAAGTTAAGATAAATCATACCTTACAGATACGAGAACTTTATTGCATAACTTATGCAAGATCTCTTTTGCACTTTTCCCGTATTCTATCATAATTCTTTAAGAATGGAACAATCGTGTTGATAACGTGTTATGAAACTATATAAACAAGAAGAAGAGAAAAGTAGGGAGAAGAAAAAAGACTTCTTATTCTTGTTGAACTATATTCAAGATTCATCGATCTTCCTCAACTCTTATTTACAATGAAGGAAAACCCCTTATTTATAAGGAAACCTAACTTGGTCTCCAAGTAGGATTCCTAACCATATCCTAAAGAAGTCCACATAATTAGATATTCACTATAATACAAATATGTTCATAACAGAACTCATATTATTACATCATTTTTTGTCCACCTGGCATTGAGAGTGTATATACTCTCTTAAAGAGCAAACAAACTAAAATTATGAAAATAATTTTATTTTTACAAAAAATTTGCTATAAAATATTTATTTTATATTATTATTTTAACTTTTTCTCCTTATTATTTTTTCTTTTTCTTTCATCCTTCTTCTTCAAAAATTTATTGTCATCTTCATCAACTTATCACTTTCAATGTCACTTTTTACCACAACTCCACCTCTCTTTTATTCTACTATTAGTTTAAGTCTCTTCAATTATAAAATTATATCTAGATATTTTATTACATTTCAAACAATTTGATAAACTCATTAGATTTCAAGATGATTAGTAGGCATTATTTAGTTTTTTTTATCCAATTTCAATTAATGTTTTTCAATTTTTGGAGAATTCTTATGCTTTCAAAATTATCATTTCTAGTTTTGGATTTATATGGAAATGAGGTAAATTAAATGATGATATCTTCAAAATTTTGATTTTTCTTGGAAAAATAATTAGTTTAGATAAAAATAACTCAACAAAGTCTAGAAAATAGTGTAATTCTGGAAATTAAGAAATTTGACCGAATAAAAAAAAGAAAAGAGAAAAAAAATGAAGGTCTCAATTTGATTGGGGTTAGGTGAGGGTGAGAGGTGAAGAAGAAGAAAGAAAGAAAGAACATGGAGGGAGCTTGAAAGTAGGGACGGAAGATGAATTGAAAATTAAAATAAAATTAAAATTAAAATTGAAGTAATAAAATTAAAATAAGTCAAAAAGTAGGAGAGAGAAATAACGAAAAACTTAAAATGAAATATATATATATACATATATATATATATTTCAAATTAAATTAACACGTGTCAGACAATGATTGATGTGTGATAACACTTGCCATTTAAAATCTAGAATTGATCAAAAAATAATGTAATAATATATTTTTGGAATTGTTTGGGGGGGGGGGTAATAGGATGTCTGCATAGTTAAGATGTGTTTTTAAAAATTCGGAATAACTTCAAGTGTCACTTTATGTCTTTTCTTAAATTGTGCATATAAAATTAACTTAAATAATAAAGTTACGTTCCTCTTTTAGAGCTAATATGTGGTGATAAAAAAAATATGTGAATGATAGACAAATAATATTACTCATGGATGAATTAATAAATAAATCTTAAATCTTTTCTAAATCTATTCAAATTATATATCTTTAAAATTTAAAATAAGTTGTGCATAAAAAATTAGCTTAAATAATAAGTTATTCAAATTGAATTAAATTCTAAATTAATTTTGTTTCAATTTTTTTTCTTAGAAATAAAAACCTTAACTTAATCCATTTTTTTTATAATGTTAACAATTTTAGGGATATTTCAGACATTTTAATTAAAAAAAGTGTTGGCCAATACCTATTTATCAAACACATCAATAACTTTTTTCAACTACAACCATTTTATTCAAGCACATAACTACTTATTTTTAATAGTTTCAACGCCTTAAAAAAGTTATTTTTCTTAATTCAATTTAAACAAGCTCTAAATCATATATACGAGCTACTACATACTTTTTGACTTAATTTAAAATTTTTGAAGTTAAAATTAAAAATAAGTTCGTATTATTATTTTTTTTTATAAATAATATTTAGTTGTTTGAATATATTTTTTGGAAAAAAATTTAAAGTAAATCTTTTTTTCAAGAGAGAGAAGTTTGTTTGCTTTGACTTGAAGTTTGGTGCAGATTACTTGTCTTTGTTAAAACAATTACGGCCGTTAGAATTGGAACTAAATATGTACTAGTTTTAAAAGTATATGGACTACAAATGATTTCCTTACAAAAATTAGGATTAGTTTAAGCACAAATCTAAAGATAGTGGACTGTTTTGTCTTATTTTTTTTTAATATTAATAATAATACTTATTATGTATTGATTGGATTAGTCATATTCCATCCAATTTATTGCTCAGAAAGGAAAAAAAGTCAACTTTCTTTCGCAAAATAATAATTCAATTTAGGGTTTCTATGAAGGGACACAATCCAATTGAGGTGGGGAAGACGGTGTTGGAGGTGGCCGATGTAGCATGGTCGGCGGTGGAACGCTGTCATCACCATACCCACAGTCATACTGATACGACGGCGTTTGATGTATCTCATAGTTGTGAAGAAGATGGATTGAGATCTTTGAGGTCTGAAAACAAACGGCTCAAACGGTTGCTTGAACAAAATCTTATGCTTCTTCAGAGCATGTCACAATCTCCTTCCTTACTTCAAAATTGTCCACCTGATGTATTTTCCCTTTTACTCTGTACAGCCAATTGATATTTTTATTTTATGTATGTGGACATATAAATATATAAATGTATTTATGTGAGTAGAGAAATGTTCTCAACATTTGGATTGTGTTATAAGTGAAAATCTCTAATTGATTTATTTTCAATTTTAATATTTTTTGTGTTTTGATTTTTATTTTGGGAAGCTTCATGAACGTCTCTTAGCCGCTGTGGAATCCGGAAGCTTTTTGAAACAGCTGGAAGCACTGAATCGGAAATCTGTTGATGGGAATGACTGTCAATTTCCTTTCAAGGAGGCAACTGGTTCGTTATTCTGATTTCTGTGTCTTCCTTTTTTCTTTTCTTTTTTTTTTGCTTTTGCAATATCACATCCATTTTATGGAAGACATCTTATTTTTTTAAAGATGTTTAGTGTGCAGAGTTACTCCACTACCTATGGTTTGGGAGGTAGTAGGTATCCGGTGTATTATAGAAGAGATTCAGGAATATAGTCATTCCTTTGAATTGGATCAAGTCATAGGGCTTTTAACTAATTCCTTTTTCAGGACTTCTCTTAATCTTCTATATGTCTCATCCCTTTTGTTGATGTAAATGAAACTGAAAGAGTGTAAAAGTTTACCAGAGTTCAGTAGTTGATTGACAAGGAACTGGTTTTCGCCTCTCATTATTTTTTAGTTTTGAAATATGGTGTTTCTTGTCATCTTATTCTTAAATATGTTGTTAGGTTCTGCTACCTTTTATTTTGCCAGTTTCTGATTTACCTCTAACAAAATATTGTTAGATGTTGACACGGAGACAGCAGAACTTCTGGTGAACATGAGTCTTGAAGAACCAAGTTGGTGGGTTTGGGTGACTGAGGATATGGTCCCTGGCAATCTTGAAGAAAGAAGCGGAATAGATAATGATAACTATGTGATTGTTAGTGAGGAATATGTTGCAGATGCAGTTGCCAACTTTATGGCTAGATGCGTAGTATCCAATTCGAAGGCTCAGGTACAAGGAGATTGATAGTTCTGTGCATATTTATCATATTTCAATTAGGGATGTTAACAGTTAGTCCTTGAGTTATTGTTTTATTCTGGGTTTCGTCCCTGTGTTCATTGATGAAGCACACTTAACCTACAACCTAACCAATTGTGTGGTTTTAATCCCATCATTGATAGAATAACAGATGTTTGGAAATAATGTACCAAGTTCCGCACAAGGCCAAGGATTGAGACGATGTAAAAGCCTATTTTCACAATCGAAATGAGCTAAACAGATGTTAAATATCTCCCATTCCTGTCTTTGTGTCTCTGGTGGCTTTCTCTCCACACGTCCCCACCCCTTTATCTTCCATGTAGATTGGATGGTTGCTGATGTTGGAACTAGTGGGAATGAATTTGTAGATTTTATAAACGAACAACTCTAAACTGATGGATAATGTTTAAGAGCATGTCTTTTGAACTGCAACAACTGTTAATTGATTGTCTAGGTAATATAGTTGATATCCACCATGTTTCTGGATGATCCTCCTAGATGGGCTGGGACTTCACCACTGCTACCAACTTTTATTACCACTTCTGTTAGTCACACTCTCTTCGCACTCCTGTCCTCATTATTTTGTCTCTTCAAGTTAGTAGGGCTGTTGGTGAACCTTTATTGCTGTTAATTTACTGGGAATAGTTACTTCAGATAGCAGATTTGAACTTGAATCAAGAACAAGCTAGTGGAAAAGTTGTTGTACGTGCACGGGTTGTAATACCTTCAAGGCAAAATCAGAGTGGGAGCTATCTAACTTCCGTTTATTTTCCATCTATGATTGGATTGAAACTGCGCATAAAGTTTAACGAAAAGCTAAATGTGCTTGGTAAAATTACACAGGGATTGAAACAAGAATCACTCATGGACGAAATGTGTATTTTCCCTTCAAGTTATGTTTGAGTCATGTCAATCTTTTGACTGTTTGTGTATTGCAATTGCAGAAGATGTCTCCTGAAGAACTGCAAAAGAGTAAGTTACTGATTGTTCTATCCTATTCTTTCTGAAAACCTTCGTTCTTGTTGCATAATTACCATAAAAACATCCAGAGTCGGCTGCAAAATTCACTTCTACATTTTCTTTTTCATGTTTCCCTCTTGGATAATGGATATTTACATGTATTAGGCATGGACATTTCTTTTTTATGATGGGGAGCTTTTTCATTATGTAATACAGGATCTAGCCAAATCCTGGTTAGGAACGAATGATCAAGTGATGGGTTGGTACTTCTGGTAGTCTTTCTTTAGATGATTGGCGGAAAAAGTGCACCATTTGAGTTGATTCCTTAGATAATCGCTCATCTTGTTAGTATATTCCATCAAAATCAGTTTTGTTCTTTTTAGGACAATAATGTCACCCAATTTATGGGGATATATTATCAAAGTCACTTTGGTTTTTTAGGACAACAATGTCACCCATTTTTTGCATTTTTTACTCAAAAAAATACTGGACACGTTTAAACCATATTTTATTTAAACCTTTTTTCTCTCTAATAAAACTTAATAACACATAATTGTTTTATTTTAAACATATTTTGTGGACCTTGAAACCTCTTTATGTAGCACTCATTTACTCTTGATTGTGAAATTGAATACCAACAATTTTCGTGGTCGGTGACATTGTAGAAAAAGCTCAATGATATCATGATTCATGGGTACCATATCATGGGCGAATAAGCTAAGGAACTTTTAAAGCAACCCTTTTTAACCTTTTTAGGTTGGGATGGGTAGAGTCATGCATCTTTCGGGATGGCCTAGTGGTTTGGGCTTGAGACTTCTATGTTTTGGAGGTCTCAAGTTCGAAGACCGTTGCTAGCAAGAGCAAGGGGCTTGCCGTCAGGGTTGAGCTCGTCATACCTGACTTGCCTAGTGCCGGTTACCCTCTGTTGTGTGGTTGGCAAGCTATTGCACATTGAGTGGGTTTTTTACCCTGTGCACCCAAAAGGTAGCGTTTGCGGGTTTCCCTTGTCATCAAAACAAAAAAAAGATGGGTAGAGTCATGGGTTAATTAAGTTTTATTATTAAAAAATAAAATTTTAATATGATATGATATGATATGTTATTATGTGTTATCTTTTCCAAGACAAAAGGCAATAGTTGGGTGACTTTGTTGTCCTAAAAAGAATAAAAGTGACTTTGGTAGGATATTCCCGCAAGTTGAGTGAATTTATTGTCTGGAAAAGAATTTACGTGTCTCTGATGGGATATTCCAATAATTTGAGTGACTTTGTTGTCGCAAAACAAACTTACGTGACTTTTATGGGATATTACCATAAGTCAAGTGACAATCCACGTTAGAATTACAAAAAGATTCGATGAGAGAATGGATTAGATGAGCAATTGTTAGAGATCAGTTGATTGAAAGATTGTTAGAGGAGATCAATTGGTTGATTGATTGATCGTTCCTTGACCTTCTTATTTTCCGTTGTATCGTTATTCTTTACTTGAGCATCATCTTATTGTGTGGTTTTCAACTTGACTTACAGCCTTGGCAAAAGCATTCGAAGGCATTGGTAAAGTAGAAACATTGTTCAACATTTGGCATGCCGCGCAAATGTTCTACGTCCTTTCCACTTGGGGACTTGCAGTAGTGGGGTGAGCACTCATTTATTATTTCTTGATTTCGTATATTTCCAATCTTAGAAGACATAACAATACTTCAGTAGTCCGTCCCGAATAAGTTTGGGTCTGGTTTATGAATATTACTGACCATATTTCTCCATTTTAATTTGTACATATTTCTGATATTACTTGTTTTTAGAAATTTTGGTATTTGCACTGGAACATTGGTGACTTGCAGAGAATAAATTTCAATTGAAATATGTGATATAGTTTGTGAAATTTCTGTGGTGTTTTAGATCCTTGTGTAAAATAGACAAGTTTGGGTGAAATTATGTGCATCTGATAACTTTTAGCTTTCACAGTTGAGGCTTAAAATAGTGGACCAATTTGTAAACAGATTCTATTTATCTTTGAAGAGATAATTTAGTGCAGATTTTGTTTTTTTGATCTCAATATATGTACTGTATCCGACTTGAACAATGTTTTGAAGGGCTTGACATTTTTGTGACTAAGCCTGTTGTTTCTGCAGGTTGTACAAGAGCCGATCTGTTATTAGACTTGCTGCTAAAGGGGTTCACAAGACAGGCAAAATGGTTCTGAAGGTTCTTTGAAGATGCCTCTGCTGTGTTGGTTATGAATTAAGCATCGTGTAAATGCTTTTACTTATTGTACAGTCTAGTATATCAGAATAACATTATGCTTGACTTCCAATTCGTCTGTCTGAGAATATTGTAAATAGTATGCAATTTGAAAAGTGCCTCTGTTGAGATTACATTCGCGTCACCGTGTAGGCCTTTTATCGTTCTTATTTCTTAAACTTTCAGTACAATCCTTTCAGAACCAGCTGGACTTGACAAAGTGGTAAGCATGCTCAGAGATTTCAACGATTGTGATTTATTTTCTTTTAGAAGATTATTTGCACGCTTTTTGAGTATTTTTTCCCCCATCAAAATAACCAACTCTAGTTTTGATGGAACATTGATATAACAAACTCATATTTTCCTATTCAAGAAAAAGAAACTGGAGTTAAACCCATAGCAATAATAGAAATTTTAGAGTATTGGTTTATTTTGATTTAGTCAAGATTATAAATCTTATTTAATCAAAGTCGTTATAAGATACTTCGTTTTGTTACTTCTCAAACATTTTCTAATTTAATTTACTTTTTTACTTGTCGTCTTTGACAAATTAAATAAGGGTGATCTTTTTTTTAATTATACTCAATTTATTAACAATTAATACCTTAGAAATATGCATAGTCAATAATACATAGGAAATTCTTTCAATTAATAATGATAAAATGATAAACTTGCTATATAATTATTATTTTCTTAATAATGCATTAAAAGCCAAAATTTGACAAGGACGGACCTTAGAAGTGAGAATGGTAAAGATGCAAAAGAACTTCTTTGCAGTATATGAAATTTGATGAAAGGATCGAACTGCCCCTCCAATTGGATTTGAGCTCCATGGTGCTAACGCTGACCCTTCCTAAATCTGAAATTGTAGTTAATTTTACCACTCAAGTAGAAAGAAAAAGAAGAAATTTTATTTTGACAGAATAATCTGGTGGGCCCTCGTATTTGTATCAGATTGTATTATGAACTCTTCTACTTAGCTTTTTAATATCTGGACTCCTGAACTTAATCAAAATGAGATTATTAAATCCACCATGTATATCACTTTCCCTTACATAGATGACATGTTATATCCATGTCATATATACTAATGTCAAGTTATAATTTTCTTCAAAATAATTTTTTTAGTATTAGTAAAAATATTTAATAAAGGACAAATATAAAAAAATTGTATTTTATCAAATAAAATAAATAATTATTTTTGTACACCTTCCTCCACCTTCCCTAACCCACCATCACTGTCAAAACTCCACCATCTCCATATCACCATTTTTTTTCTTCTTCATTTTTTTACAATCCAGTAATCTGATGAATTCATGAAACTACTTCACTCCCCGCTAGTGCCATTTTAATTTATTATTGACATTTCTAATCCTCCCTATTTTTACAATTTCACCACCAAGTCAGCGTCATAAAACCCATTAGAATCCAATTGTAAAACCCAATATAGCATTTATGATTTTCTGGCATGGATAGCAATACAAATTGATCGAAACAAGGTAGAGGATCTCGTCGATGCCGGAGAAATCGATGGAGCCATTGCGTCATCTCAATTTTTGACGGCGGCGTCCATTTTTGCCGGCGAGATCAAAGTAAAAATAACCTAAGTCATCTAACAACAACAATAACAACTACCTAGCCACCTAACAACCAGATTTAACCAAATTTTTCATAATCTAATGCTAAATACTATTTCACATCTCAAATTGCTTACAAATACAAGAATAATTTTGACACCAAAAGAGGTCAAGTTACTCATTAGAGATATCAGCAACTCCACTAATTTCTGATTTTTCTTTGATTATTATGTTGAAATTTTTTTGCCCAATTTCGTTTCTTATTTAGGGTAACAAAAAAAAACAAGAAAGAAGTTGAAAAGGAGCAAGGAAAGGTAGAAAGATAGAAATTCAGGTATGAGAGGGGAAAAAGAGGAAAAATGATACTTGAAGAGGAAAAAAATAGGGATGGGTGGGGAAAATAAGAAAGAAGTGAAATAAAAATGAAGATAAATAACAATAGGGTGTGAATAAGGAAAAAAATAGGTTGGGTTTGGGGTGGCTGGAAAAAAGATAGTGTGGGGAAGAAGATGGAGGTAGTGTGGGGAAGAAGATAGAGTTTTTTTCCTTTTTTTTAAAAAATAATTTTAATAATTTAAAAGTAAAAGTTGAAATTGCAAATATCATGTTCACTTGCCTTTGTAGGTGTGTGACTACACTCTCTTGCCAAATCGTCTATATTAATGTCATATAAGAATGATCAATGGTCAGAGGGGTTTATAAATTGTGTTATGTTGAGTATAAGGTTCCATATGACAAAAAGCTAAGAAGAAGAGTTGATAATACAATCCGATACAAGTACGAGGGTCCACCAGACTATTCTGCCTTTTATTTTTAAACTAGAGCGTTTTTGTTTCCATCTCTGGATCTTGACCCTGTTCTTGGTTATACTATATACAAGCATAAATGATTTCCCCTCTTAAAGTATCTTTTACTTTTGGACTTACAGAATATTTGGCTGAACTTTTAAAATCAATTATAATATTTAAAAGCATCATCTTTTTTGAAATTACTGTTGGCGAGAAACAATTTGTCAATTAGGCTATTAATCTCAACAGAAGTTGTAAACCAGTATTGAAAATATGAGGAGAATTTTGAGTAACTAGATTAATTGCACTATTAGATAATAGCAAAGTAATTCAAATGAGATTGAGGAAGAGAAGTTTCGTGGTTATTATTTTAGTGTAACACACTTGAGTAGAAGTTTGAGAATCATTTCAATAAGAACATCAATTGTATATATCTACATTGCAATAGCCTCTTGGCAAAAAGGAAGAAAAGGATTACATCTGTTTAATTGAAATCTTAAATTTTACTACTGGAATAGTGACAAAACAGAACAGACATAGTTTGAAAGGAAAGAATGAGAGCGATTCCACCATGTAGACATTGAAATTTTGTGGACTCTACAAAATTCGTACAATTTGAGTTGGGACTCTACAAATTGTGCTCAATTTAGATTAGGATTCTTGGAGGCTACTCAACCCTAAACCCTAGTTTATACCTATATAAAGGGAACTAAATTCCCTTAGAAGGCATCTCGGAAATTCCATAAAAAGATCAAGATCTCGAATACTCCGCAAATTGATGTATTATTTATATAGAGAGATCAAATCTAAATCATCCTAATTTGAGAAATACGCCACTAACGGCCCTCGAATCATGGATAAATCATCTTAGAGAGTGGAATCAAGGGAGGACAGATTTGTATGCAAATTGAAGAAACATGATTTTATAAATCAAGATATATTGGGGGTACAATTCTGTTGATCCCTTGATTCTACTCTCTTAAGATTTATCCATGATTCGATGGCCGTTAGTGGCATATTTCTCAAACTAGGATGATTTAAATTTGACCTCTATATATGAATAATCCATCAATTTGTGGAGTGTTGGAAATCTTGATCTCTTTATGGAATTTCTGAGATGCCTTTTAAGGGAATTTAGTACCCTTTATATAGGCATAAACTAGGGTTTAGGGTTGAGTAGCCTCCAATAATCCTTATCTGAGTTGAACACAATTTGTAGAGTCCTAACTCGAATTGAACGCATCTTGTAGAGTCTCACAAATTTTCAATGTCTACAAATGCCCCCCTACTTCAAGGCTTGACGGAGTGTAGACTTGTAAAACTCAAAGAGGAGGCTTGATGTTCTCATTCTTCCATCTTTGCAGCTTCAAATTTTCAGATTTGATTTAAGAGAAGAAATGAAGGGCAGATTTGGTCCCACTGGGCGTGCCAGTTTGTTTGCAACAAATTTTAAATATACGGAAAATAAATAAACCATGCAAATAAAATATGAAGAAACATGATTTTATTAATCAAGATATATTGGGTGTACAATTCTGTTGATCCCTTGGTTTTACTCTCTTAAGACTTATCCATGATTCATGGGCCGTTAGTGACATAATTCTCGAACTAGGATGATTTAGATTTGACATCTCTATATGAATAATCCATCAATTTTCGGAGTATTCGAGATTTTGATATCTTTATGGAATTTCTGGGATGCCTTTTAAGGGAATTTAGTACCCTTTATATAGGCATAAGCTAGGGTTTAGGGTTGAGTAGCCTCTAAGAATCCTTATCTGAGTTAAAAATAATTTGTAGAGTCCCTACTCGAATTGAACGCATCTTGTAGAGTCCCACAAAATTTCAATATCTACAAATTCCCCCTGCTTCAAGGATTGATGGAGTGTAGACTTGTGAAACTCAAAGAGGAGGCTTGAAGTACTCATTCTTCCACCTTTGCAGCTTCAGATTTTTGGATTTGATTTAAGAGAAAAGAGATGAAGGGAAGATTTGGTCCCACTGGGCGTGCCAATTTGTGTGCGTCTAAAGTTTCCTCCCTGAAAAATAGCAAACAGGAAAGGAAATATAGCAAGCAAACAATAATATTTGAATTTGGATTTATGCGAAGGTTACAATCTTTATGAAATCTTCAATAAAAGATGAAATCCTCTGATTTTTCTCTTCACGAATGATCTTGATTTGATGTAATACTTGCGGCTCAACACTTGGAAAGAAGACTTCTTTGTATGCAGAAGACTTGCAGATCACCACTGAAGAGCAACTATGTATTTTTGTGTCTTTTGATCAGAAGAAGACCTCTTTATATAGGCTTAATTTAGGGATTTAGGGGTATTTTGGTCTGAACAATTGTGGTCCTAAAGAACATGAGTTGGGCTCATCTTGTCAACTTAATGGACTGACCCAAGTGATTTCGACTTGATTTAAGTCATATAATTTTGACTTAGATATTAATCCGACTATATCAACTAGTAACTTGACTTGTTCAACGTATGATGATTTAAGACTTAACCCAAATTTAATATGGAGTTATCAATAAAACTTCACTCCCTACACTCATTCTTCCATCTTTGCAACTTCAGATTTTCAGATTTGATTTAAGAGAGAAGAGATGAAGGGCAGATTCGGTCCCAGTGGGCGTGCCAATTTGTTTGCAATAAATTTTAAACTTATGAAAAATAAATAAGTCATACAAATAAAATATTAAAAACGTGATTGTATTCCTCAAGCTTGTGAGTACAAATCTGTTCCTCCCTTGATTCTACTCTCTAAGATGATTT